GTTTTTTTTTTCCCCCCTCCCCCCACCGAAGGCAGCAGCAGCAGCATCTGCCGTCCTGTCCGTCTCCCTCACCTACAGCAAATCCCTCCCCTGCACTGATAACACTCCGCATAACAGGTGAGCGACTGCTGGCAGAAAGGAGATTGCCTGACCTTATTGTTTGCCTTTGCCACCTCTTTGTTCTTCACAAATAAAAGGTTTTTTAATAAACTGAAAGGTCCTCTGCCGTGGCCCATAGAGAAAATGAAAGGGGGCAGTGAGGTATGGTACAATGTGGCGGGAAAAAAGAGCAGCTCATCAGAAAATAACAAAGGTGCAAGTTAAAGATAAGGTGCCTGTCAGAGATTAATCCAGGCCGCTTGATTGTTTTCTTTAATACCAGACCTGCTACAGCAAGCGATAAGTTTGCTGAGTAATTTGGTTTTCTAGGGGACGGTTAGCGAGTGGGTGGCTGGGTGCTCGAAATAATATTCAGGTGTGCTCCATAATTGATTTCTTTTTTCCCCACTCCTCAGTTCTCAAAGAAAAATGAGATGAAACTCAAAACTGCTTTGACTTGCTTTTCTGTTCACCCCCTCCTCACGCCTGCACCCCCACTTTTTCTGCTCTTTTCCAGTTCTTTCTTTCTCCTCTCTTTCCCCTTTGGATTAATAAACTGGCTTTGTTCAAGGCAATAAAGGGAAGGGGAGAGTATGCTTGAAGAGGCAGTTTTTTTTCTCTTGCCTGCAGCTGCATTGTGATGGCTTCTGCGAGTGGCAGAGAGGGGAGATAGACGGGCACATGCTGCAGACAGACAGCGGAGTGGATTGGTTTGATTTTGCGGTGATTGATTTGTGTTCCCAATTTAAGTTTCACTAAAAAATCTGATGTTTTCAAAAGATAACAGATTTGCACAACTTATATATAAGGTTGTTATATAACGGTGGAACATGCTCTTCAAATTAACCAATCTGTACGGCAATAGCTTTAAGTTAAGTCAAACAGAAGTCAATCAGTGAGTGTGCGTGCGTCTGAGAGTGTGTGTATGAACGCACGACTTTTTGATGAGTCGAGGAAAATGAATGCGAAGAACAAAAGATTAAAATCTATTAGTCTGCTAATGGAAATGGCAGATGCAGCCACCCTATAGCAGCAGAAATTAATGTAAATCCAATATGTGGAGAAAATTAGTCTTTGTGTAAAAAAAAAAACTGCCCAACTCATCTGAACAGTTTTTAATTTGCTGCAGAAATTACCATCCTCCATATACATGAAATATCTTCCCTCAGAGATCATTCTGGTGAAGTCGCCACAGAGGCAACACTTCAGGAGGCACATTTTAATTTAGATCAATTTAAAACTGCATCGGGCAAACGAGACCACGCAAATTACTCATAGGCAACGTTGGCTTGTCTCAAACCTAAACATATAATGTGTGTTTTAGAACAGTACTGGGAGTCAAAGCTAAACCTCACATTTTTGCCAGCCTTAGGTCTGTGCTCGTTTACCCGTGTCTGACTTAACGTCATCTGTAAAGAGAGTGAAAAAATGAAAAAGAGAAACCATCCATTTTTGTCATCATTTCACCATTTTGGTGTCAGAATTGATCCACCTCACAATTGCCTCTCATCTCTCTCCCTTTTCTATTTCTACCTGCCTGCACCTCACACCCCCCTGCTCTCTCTCTCTCTCTCTCCCCTTCTTTCTCTCTCTCTCTCTCGGGCTGTGTCACCCTCTCCTCCCTCACAGCCACTTCTGCAGGAGATGGCCTGTACTCTAGGGCTGTTTTCCAATTACAGCTCAACCTTTTCAGAGAAGGTCATTATAATTAGAGATCCATTTAGCCTTTTTCTCTGAAAAGCATGGAATTTTTTTTTTCCTGACCGTGGTACATGAGAAGCAATAGAAATAGAGGAGTAGGAAGAAGAAGAAGAAAGAAAAATAAAATGCCGCAGAGCTGATCTGAAGTGGTTCTATTATCATGGTTGGCTGGACAGGTTGCATGCATTAATGGCTCCACTCTGGGGCAACACTGGCCTTTTGCACATTACTAGTGCATGAATGGAGCGAGACATCACAGAAGTGGCTGCAGAATCAATACCAGGACTGGATGTGTCTGAGTGTTCACCTCAAAAAACAGGACAATAAACAGAGGAGTTTGTTTGTGATGGAAGTTGGAAGCTGGACTAAAGCTTAACTGAAGGGAATAAATTATATGTTTGAAACCTGAGAGAAAAACAAACACCAGCTCCAGTTACTACATGAGCAAGTACAGAAGTAGCTAAGAAATTAGTTAGTAGATATTAAATTAATAGATATGGTCCTCACAGTATAATAAAATAGTTTATTTATTTCCATATATTTCCTTTGGCCAGGTTTTGTGTCTTCTAGTCTTTAAACTACATTGAGTGGCCACTGAATCAGGGACATTGTACCACATACAGTAAGACTTCTTTTTCTCTCTTTATTTTCATAGATATGCTGATAACCAATGCAGATGTTTCTGAGGTGTTTTGTTCCAGATTTACACAATAACATTGTTGCACTGCTACAGATTTGTTGGCTCCACAGCTATGATTCAAACCTGTCTGTTCAAACACAGTCCAAATGGTTTAGTACTAAATGTCAAATACATAATTTATATTTAATTTAATTTTTGTATTTAATATTGTAACACTTTATGATTCTCATATCAACTGATACAGATGTATACAGCCGTTTGCTAGCTGTTTCCCAATGACAAATTGTAGGTCACATCATCTGAGTGAAACCTGGAGATTGTTATCAGGGTTTTAATATCGGGGGGAAAAACTATGGCCGATACTACACAGCTATGCTCATATTGGCCAATAATATCGGTTCATTTCATAGGAGTAAACCATTGGTGGAATTCTTCTTTTTTAAATTGATAATAACTGAGCTCTGTGTCTCATTATCATGATCCAGCTAAAGATAAACTACAATAACCTCCAGACCCCTGTTCCCACGTTGCCTGAACTCTTGGTCATGTTTCTCCTCACATTTTACTTCAGATCTCAGCTGCTGCAGGGCCAACTGGCTTAGAGCAGCAATAATGAGACCTGCAATTAGTACTGACCAATCAATGAGGTAATTGCAGAGCAGGAAT